AACCAGGTAATGAGTGCCTCCCAGCTGTAAGTAGCCCAGTTGCAAAGGAATGGAGCTGCTCTATCTCTTGTTTACCTTTGCAAATAAATAGTTTTCAGTACTGTAAAAGAACTTCACTTCTCATGACGGCTAAGACTGGATTTTTGTGCCTCTCTTGAGGGAGAAGGCAGATGATAAGGCCTGTTCTATGAAGAAGGAATGCAGCTGGCCAGTCCCACAGCTTTGCTAGGAGTGAAAAACACTTTTCTCAAGCTGGAATACCTGCAGAGTACAGGAGATGAAGACTCTGAGGCATTCTCCTTAATCAGCCTCTGCTTACATCAGGAAACAAGAAACAACTCAAAGGTAATTTAGAATATGTTTTGACAAGGACAGATAAAACTTAATGGCCTTCTGCAGCACATGGGTGACTCAACTGCACAAACTGCAGCCTTGTTTCTACCACCTACTTTCAGTTCCTCATTTTAAGGTATTGTTGGCACTGTTTACATGTTTAAAAATAATTAAAAAAAAAACAATAAAGAGAAGAAGAAAGGCAAAGGGACCCAATATTGCAGATTTAAAGATTCTTGCAAGCAGGATGTCCATTCCTGTAAATAGGTGAAGTGAAATAAAGCCAAAAGTGAGACTCACTTTGCTGATTCATGCTAACCAGGAACACCACTGGCTGCTGATCATCCTCACCCAATAAACTGCTTAGCAGGGAGGGGACATGGAGTGACACACAAGACAGCACTAACGCTGTTTATTTTTAAATGTGGTTTTGCACAGTAAGATGATGCTGAAATGGAGAAATTCCTTATTACGCAACTTACATATTTATAGTGAAAAGGAACAGTATGTCTAGGCAATGTCACTGAACACAACATAGGAAGACAAACAAACAAACCAACCAACCACAAGCAGAACCAAGAAGCTGCAATTTGAAAGCACTGAGGTGCCTGGAAGCCCCCCATAGCTTCACAGCCCCAAGCATCTTTGCTTTGGACTGGAGGAAGGCACAAAGGACCCATCCACACACACCAGGATCTTCTGCAACAAGTTAACTAAACTAAAAAGCCTCTGGAGTGAAGGGCTTTGAACACCAAAACCTAAATCTGAGGTTTGGCACAATCAGCGATAAGCACTGGGGACTTGAATGTGAGAGGGGAAGTTCCTGAGACACAAAAATACTGATTAAACCGCAGTTTGGAGATGGCTGCCATTCTTTGGTGTGCACGAATGACAGGCTAGAAAGAACACTGGTTCTGCTAAGACCATCTGATTCAGATAAAACAAATATATCTCCATGTTTTACCAGTGTCTGAGGACTGAAACAAGTACAACTTTTCAACATAGCAACTGTATGATGTGGAAACCCGGTCAGCCTTAGTGCTCAGTGTGTGACAGAGGAGTTCATAACAACACCTTGGTTGTCAGCAGTCTGTCCTCACCCACATATATTATCTTTCCATCTTATCCTTAAGTTCACCACGTGAACTTAATCACATTGTTTCAGATATTCTAGACTGCAAATAAAGACAAAAATGTCATTATTTATGATCACTTGTGCCTTTAAGTTACCCTGCAGGGACAGGGGAGACAAAAACCAAACGCACTGTGGATGGATCCAGCTGGCTATGGGAGGAGATGGGGTGAAGATGGCAGCCCCTCTGCTCTGCTTGGGCTGCAGGTCAGGACCAGCTGCTGTGGCAGGAACCACTGGTAGTCAAAGATCGCAGTCAAAGATCAGAGATGCTAATTTTTGGTCTTAACTCTTAAAATTTGTGATGATCTGCACTGAATGAAAATTAGAGACATGAAACAGGCAAGGGTTTCCTCTGGGTTGGATATGGTAATAACAGTCTTTCATTGCTTTAATAATAATAATAATAATTAATAAAACAACGAGGTATTTCAGACGTGTGTTTTGCACAAACTTTCCTTATCATGCTTTCTTTCAGCCTGATATTTAAATCTCCATTACAACTCTCTGTTGTCAGGGTTTGCATTCAAGCTCCGTCAGTCAACAGTGTTGTAATGAAAACAAAAAGAACAGTGGCATCTAAAACCAGACACGTCTCTGCAGAATCACACAGCTTATTCCCTTCTCCTTTTCCATAGTGGTATTATTTGGAGAACTTCCACCACAGATCTCCACTCATGCTAGTGGCCATGATGCAAGTTATTCAAGGCATCTGCAGAGCTGAGTTTTGTATAGAACTGTGAAGAAAACGTGCTTTTTTTCTTTCTTTTTCTTTTTCTTCATTTATGCTCAAGATAGCCTTGAAAACTCCAGCTGAGTATTAGTACTCTTTAATATCATTCAGCCATCTGCAAATGATGTATGGAGGTTCTCCACAGTCTCTGTAGGTAGCTGATGTGGAAAATCAAAGCCACCTCAATTTAAAGAAGTACTGAACTTCTTAGAAGGCAATTAAAATCACATTTTAAATGGCAGTAAATCAATTAAATCACTAATAATTTTTTCAGCCAAAAAAGAAAAGTTCAACGAATGAGTTAATCCAGATCCATCAAATGTTTCCAGATAATCATTGTAAGAACTTGATAAAAAATACATTTATTATATTATTGATTTTGAGAAATATACATATAACATTAAAATTGCCTTTTTTTCCAGAAACAAAATAATCTGGGAATGTCACCCCAGCAATCCTCAAATGCCAGGATCTTGCCACAGAAGCCAAGCACAATCCCCTGAAGCGCAGATGGCTTTCAGTAACGACTTTTGCCTCTGACTGTCTTTGCCCTTTGACCAGTGCTGATCTCTGAAACAGCTCCTAACGTTCTGAACTTTGAACTTCATTAAGCACGTCTCTAACATATTTCTGCCTGAAATGAGAATGGTTCAAAACCTCATGGCAATGTTTTCCATGCCCTGACACCCAGGTGACATATCACCTTCAAAGACTGGTAAAGTTTGGTTTTAATATTGTCTGACTGAAAGCTTAGCAAGTGCTCCTAGAAGACTTGATCTCCCCAGTGAGTACACACACACCTTCAGTCCTCCAAGACTCCTGGTGACTGGGGAGAGGCTCTCCTCTTTGGCACTAGGCAGACTATCCCAAAGAGACTGCTCACTAGAATGAGTTATACTTGCACCATGCATGCCTGTGAATGACAAACTGGACCTAGCAAGAAACCTGCTGGGGCTCGGAGCTTCTTCTGTGGAACAACAGAAAGCTCCCATAGGCTTAAAATCCCTCCTTCACTCCATCCAAAGTGATGTTACCTGCTGGCTGGGTGACCTGAACTGCCCTGCTCATCCGGCAGCCCATTGGCCTACAACCCTCACACGATCACTTTTGCTTTATCTTGTATCAAAATACTGCTACAGGACAAACTGGACTATGGACCTGGATGAAGAGAGAAGGACAACACTCTGTAGAGCTGAGCTCAGGCCAGAACTGTGTGTTACTGTCTGTCAACAAGCCCATGTGCCATACCAAATGTGCTCACCATTAGGAGACCATGGCCACTGAACCTTTGTGTTGATCCTATACTGAGGGGTATGACAGGCCACAGTGGCTCCCAAATTTGGGGCTGACTGGTGTGTGTCACATGGTAGTGAAACACATTCAGAGATCATATGACACACATTGCTGGTGCTAAATAAGCTTATGAAGGAACTGAAAATTTGTGAAATTATTGAACTATAGGTGCTTCCTGCTTTAAGAGAAAAACTACTTCTGGGAAGCTTTAATTTGTTATTATTATTAATCTTTTTTATTTTTAGATAATAAGGTTTTCTGCAATATTTGTGATTGATGAGAAGTACGAAGATTGAAAGGTGGCCCTTTTCTTCTGCTCTCTGTTTCCTGTCCTTGTTGTACCACACTTGTGGGAAGGTTAAAATCATCTCTTTGTGTCATGGCGCAGGGAGGAGTATGAGGAGAGCAGGGGCACTGCTGTGCCAGTTCCAGAGCACCCCACCTCAACGCAAGGGAAAGTAGTGTCTGCACTGCAGCAAGCAGCTGCTATCAGGGGTGATACAGCAGGGCTTCTGCCATAGATGTATTGGTTGTACAAGAAACGCACCCTGAGGTGTGATAGCTCTGATGCAAAGGCATGCTCCATCCCTTGTGCATGTAGACCCATAGAATGCTCGGATCATGGGATCACAAAATGACTTGTGTTGGAAGGGAGCTTACAGCCCACCCGGCCCCAACACCTGCTGAGGACAGGGATGCTTCCCAGCAGCTCAGAATGCTCAGAGTCCCATCCAGCCCAGCCTTGAGCACCTGCAGGGATGGGGCACCCACAGCTCTCTGGCCTCACCTCCATCTGAGTGAAGAACTTTCTCCTGACATCCAACCTAAATCTCCACTCTTTTAGTTTAAAGCCATTTCCCCTTGTCTTATCGCTATCAGACCCTGTAAAAAGTCAGTCCCCCTCCTGTTTATAAGCTCTCCTGAAGTCCTGGAAGGCCGCATTGAGGTCTCTCCAGAGCCTTCCATCCTCCAAGCTGAACAGCCCCATCTCCCTGAGCCTGTCTTCACAGGAGAGGTGCTCCAGCTCTCTATCACCCTCCTGGCCCTCTCTGGACCCACTCCAGCAGCTCTGTACCCTTCTTGTGCCCGACCCCCAGGCCTGGGTGCAGCACTGCATGTGGAGCCTATGCTGTCTTTCACCACGGTGGGTACAGCCCCAGCCGGGCAGCACAACGGCAGATCTGCACCACCATCACCTCTTGCGCAGTGCCAAAGCACGGGCCGGGGCAGCGCTGCCAGAAGACAAAGTCCACCCCACCTTGGCAGCAACCACGCCGGACTGCGGGCAAGTGAGACGCACGGCCCTGAGACAAACTGCCGGCAACAAAACCCTGCCAAGAGCGTGAACGGGGAAAAGCCGTAGTAGAGTCTCTACACTAAAATCACCCCTTAATCGGCTGCAGATGGGAAGCCGCGCAGAGGAACAGCGAGCACAGCCGCGCCGCCCCGCGCCGCCCGCCTCCTTCCTCCCGGCCGAGGGGCGGGACCGCGCCGCTGGAGAGCCGCCCTCGCCGCCCGGCCCTCGGTGTCGCGCAGTGCGGACATAAACACGGCGAGGCGTGACCTCTGGCGGGACGGGGTGGGGAGCGGGCCGGCTGAGGTACGGCGCCGAGGGTAGGGGTGACCGGCGGGGATAGGGAGGAGGAGGCGCTGAGGCGGGCGGGGGGTTGGGTGCCGCAGTCCTTCCTCCTGCAGGTTGGGTGGCGGTTTCCTTTCGTCCGAGCGATCGTTATGACGTTTTCTTTTTTCTGCTGAAGCGAGTTAAAGGTAGGATCCAGAAATGAGGAAGGTTTTGCTCGTGGAGCCGGTCATTTTCGTCTACGTATTCGCAAGTTCCCTGACGGGCCCGGTGGTGCAGCAGTTCATTTACCGAAAGCTGTGGGAAGAGGAGTACAACTCCACCGCCATCAGCAGCGACAACAGCAGTCACTGTGTGCGAAACAAGAGCAGCCCAACTTATGTCATGCAGAAGGTAAGAGCAAGGAAAAAAGGCAGCTGGAAATACAGGCGATAAAACCTTCAGCCTGTAGGTACTGAGCAAGTCGTTCTCTCTTTTATCTTATTTAACCTTTTATAGGTAGAATATGTAGTAGTTTCCTAAACTGCTGTCACTTTGCTGCCAACTTGCTCTAAGTGTTGCACTGGACGTAGTTGTCATGCTTTCAGGACAATGAAAGGCTGAAAGAGGCCGGGAAGAAAGATCCCAGAGAAGTCTGTGGGGATATAAGGTGTGTAAGGGAGAAGTTTTGCAATAAGGGTGGCACTGGCACAGGTTGCCCTGAGTTCTGATGGGTGGAGCCCCATCCATGGAGGCGTTCAGGGTCAGAGATGGGGCTGTGAGCACCTGATCTAGCTCTCGGTGGCCTGTTCAGTGCAGGGAATTGGATTAAATGGCCTTTAAGGGTCCCTTCCAACTCTAACAGTTCCATGCTTCTATGAATTTTCTCCAGGAAGACGCTGAGATAAATTCATCCTCTAATCTTTCGATCATCTTTTACTGGTTGAAAATCATCTTGGATTGGGCCCAAGTTGACATTGGCCTCCCGTAACAAAGGGTTACAGCTGCAAGCTCTCCTTCCATGTGTTTATTCACTATCAGTGGTGTCTCTGTGATTTGGAGTGCTCTTTGTACATAAAGTTTGACAATTGTCCTACATATATAAAACATCAGATCTACCATTCACAGAACACTGCTCATCTACCTTGTTGAAATACAAAGATGGCGTGATGATCCATGGTCAGTACCATTTGTTGCGCTTTTTCCTGGTATGCTGTGTAGCTGGGTGCTGATTGAAACCTCTGCAGTGGTACTTCAGAGCAGTTTTAATGCTACACATCAGCGGAACTGATGTGGGGTGTCAAGAGAAGAGTTGATTATGCTCCATTTTTGCTTTCAGAGAACCATGGAGTCATTAAGTTGGAAGAGGCCACTAAGATCAGTTAGCCCAACCGTTAACCCATCATCACCATGCCCACTGACCATGTCCCTAAATGGCAGGTCTTCTCTTTCCTTGAGCACCTCCAGCAGCTGTGACTCCACCACCTCCCTACTGTCTCTTTCCACTCTGTTCCCACTGTTTCCCCAGTGTGTTGTATTTAGCAGTTACTACAGTTAGAGGTTACAGTTTGGATTCGATCAGAGTGCTGGTTCAACAGAAGGCTCATCTTTTTTTTTTTTTTATTATTATTATTATTTTAGTTTGTAACTTTTTCTGAAGCAGTGAATTCCTCTAACATACTCTGTATTCACATGATTGCAGTATCTAATATGGGGATGGCAATAAGAATATATTTACAGAAGAAGTGCAGCAAAGTCATCCTTGATAACAGCAACTGAAGCTTGGATTGGGTTAAGTGGAATCTGACTCTGCATGGTAAAGTGAGAGAAGTAGATGCCTGGACTGTAAATTGTGCAGAAAATGGGGTTAAGTTACACAGAAAATAGAGTGAATGGAAGCTTACTGTTGGTATTCCTTGATGCTGCAGAAAAACAGGTGGCACTTGAAGATTTTGGTCACATCCAAGGTTGGAATCTGTGACAACCTGCTTATGTGAAGAACTGAACATTGGAGCGTATCAACCTCATTTGTCAGATATAAAATAAAATCTTTAATGGCTTGTGCTTCTGTTGAAAATAAGAAATGTTCAGAATTTTTAGCATGAAGTAGGTTCTTCCTCTTCATAGGGCAGGAGAAGGAAGAATTTGAAGATAAAGAGGTAAATAGAATTCTAGTCCAGAATGCCCAGAAAACAGCCCAGACAGCAAAGGAAGGTAATATATGCCATCCATTGGAACTGATCTGGAGATCATAACCAATTATTGTTACAAATATGCTTTTGTGTTCCTCCCCCAAAGCCTTTTTTTTATTATTAGCTCCTTGTTTGTAACTGTGGGCATTTTATCGTACAGTGTCATGTGTCAATGGAAAAGGCAGCTATTAGAATTAGATGTGGTGCTTGGTAGTTCCAATTGCAGAGTCCATCAGAAAACCTACCAACATTTCTGTACTTTGCATTTGCTAGAAGCTTCCCAAATACAACTCAAGCTTCCAATTGTGACCACATACACTCCAAGATTTAACACTTGATGTATGTTTTGGCAAAAGACTGAAGCAGAGTGCTGAAATTTACACAGCAGCATTGATTGAGGTGACAGTGGATTTGCAAGCTACAGGATTTTTGGCATAAAGGAAGCCAACTGTGTTTCCTACATACAGAAGTTTTGATATTTGAGAGTAGGAGTCCTTCGAGACGTTATCTGAGTCATGGCCAGTAGAACTTGTTTCCCTTTCTTGACAAAGTTCCATTCCCTCCATTTCGATGGTAGCCCACAGGCCATGAATTATTGAACAGTCATGCTGTAGTCTGTCTGTCTAGCCCGTATTTTTGTACCATGCTCGTTCCCATCGTATACTGATGTAGAACTCAAAATCAGCTATAAATTTCAGTGGTGTCTGTGCTGAGCTGTAGCCCCGTGTATGATGAAAAGAGTAGATCCAGTAATACAGTCCCAGGCCTTTTCCTGATGATAGAAGTAGGTGTTTGGGATTTTCCAAGGTCACTCTGAGTTATATACATAGGTACAGTAAATTCTACTGTCAGGGGTGTTTGGTGTCAACTCTTAGAGGAAAACCTCTTCTATAGATTGAGTTAGTGTTAAGCCCTTCAGTTCTTGGGATGGAGAAGCTTCTTACTGATCTCATTTATTTCAAATTGAAATGTAAGAAGAAACTAAAAGAAGATAAAATCACTTGAGGTCTACAAAAAAAAACAGACTGTATTTCAAAATGGATAGTCTAGGCAGCATGTGGATTAATTATTTCCTGGATTTGCATTTGTTGTAGCAATTTTGAGATAAATAAAAATGAATTTCAAAGTAACTCAAATACACAGAGCCTTCTGATCCCTGGTTTGAATAATCGTTTTTGTAGCTCAGGAGGAGCTATGTTATTAATTAAACACTGCTTATCGTTCAGGGCACATGCGTTTTCCTTTTGTCAGTAATATTTGTGATTTTGTGAGCCTGTTTGTCGTATGCTCTACATTGTAGCCTCAGGCAAAAGACTTCCCTCTTAATTTGATCCGTATGCATGTGAATCATTTCTTCACTGTCATTCTTTCCATTTTGTAATCTGTGTTTTTGGGCATTACTTCTGTCCAGCATAAGCATTTGTCTCAGAGTAGAGCAAATTCACAGATTAGAAAGCTAGAGCTTTGTTTTTGAGTGTGTGTAGTTACATGATGAGTGAGTCTTTGTAGCTACATGATTATAAAGCAGCTGAGGGTTTGACCAGTTGTTTTCTGTATCGATTTCTGATGAGTTTATAACAACACAAAGGGGGACTTTCACTCTAAATGAGTTTTTCTGTACTTCTTTAGTTGTCTGGTCAGTAGGCAGCAGGTCATTTGTGGCAGTAGGGTTACAGTCATTTGGGGTATCATAGAATCATACTATAGAATCACAGAATGGCCCAGCTTGGAAGGGACCTCAAGGATCATGAAGCTCCAACCTCCCTGCCACATGCAGGGACCAACCTCCCCATTTAATACCAGACCAGGCTGCCCAGGGCCCCATCCAACCTGGCCTTGAACACCTCCAGGCTCAGGGCATCCACAGCCTCTCTGGGCAGCCTGTTCCAGTACCTCACCATTCTGTAAAGAACTTCCCCCTGACATCCAACCTAAATCTTCCCTTCTTCAACTTAAAACTGTTCCCTCTTGTCCTGCTGTTATCTACCCTTTTAAAGAGTTGACTCCCCTTCTGTTTTTGGGCTCCCTTTAGGTACTGGAAGGGAATCCGAATTTATAGCCACATTCCTTATGTTGTACACCTGCTTCCAAAACAATGAGACCCAAACCTTTGCTGGTTTCTTCCAAGTTCATATATCTGTGTATTTCAGCAGTAACATCTGCAATGCATGTTTAATGCAGACTGAGAACATAAATAGTAATAATATTTAGTTTGATTTCCAGTGTATTACCTGTGTACTTTTCTATGGTGGTCATTGACTTAGAACCTGACACTTGTAAAGAACAACGCCTGCAACAGGTGTTATAAATGGCACAAATAGCACAGCCTGTTGCAGAAAGGTGTTTTCATGCTCTACAAATGCAGCTACAAATGCCCTGGAGTTATTAGTGCTTTATTTGCTGTGCTTTGTTTGCTGTGCCTGTTTGTCTGTGGGCTGAGTTGCTTCCTTTCCCGTTGGCAGTGTCGTTTCAGACCAGATAATTTCCCATCCCTTGCCAGTCTTGCTGCCATTCTCCTCTCACATTAAGTCCTTTTCTACAGCTTTATGCTCCAGGTTGCCTGGCTTCCTGCTGCACTGCCATACCCATAGACAGGGCTCTGTCTGATGCCTCAGGGATCTGCTTTCAGAGTTACGCTCTATGTTTGAAAGTCTGTTTTGTGAGATGATCCTGTAGGAAGGGTTTGTGTGAATGCAGTTACCACCTTCTCTGCTGCTGCTCTTTTATCTGGACAGGTTGTTCTCTTTGAAAGGGCTGCTGGGACTGCTGTTTCTTCAGCCTGCATAAATCTGTTAAAAGCCAGATCCAAATCAGCTTGCTGCACACCATCGCTTAGCAGCCAGCTTCATTAATGTGCAAAATATTTTTTCCTATTAGCTCTTGAGTTCTTTTCTTTACAAACATTAATATTCTATTAACTATAAACTGTATTTGATTTTTAAACTTCTTTTTAAAAGAACCAAGACATTTTTTCCTGTGATGTTCGTTTACAGCGTTAGCTACTATTCCTTATGAGAATACCTGCTGTGGCTTATCAACAGAGATATCACTGATTTGGACAGTTTCTGAACCCAGAACTTGTCAGTAAGGAGTTAGTATTAAAAATTATATTGACCCATGTGTATAGAATGTGAACTATTTCACATCTGTGTGCTGTTGCTACTCATAACACTGCACATTGGGATGTCAGCAGCAAACGCTGCCCTATTCACTTGCAGAATGTGCTGGTCAGTGAATTGCTTCTTTGTGACCCTCCCACCAGGATTATTTAGGGAGGAAAAAAAAGATCTCCTGTGAGTAGAGAGCCTGGGCTGTGCTTCTCAATCAAAGATTGTTCTACTAATGATTTCTGAAGGATTAAAATGGGCCCAGTATCCTTTGGCAGTGCTCTGTATTGAAGGAGGTGCCTACAGTAAGAACACCAGCTCTTGTAAATGAACGTAGCAAAGAATTGTTGTTTTGTCTTCATTGAAACTGCTGTGTCAAGAGTACTTGTGAGAGCATATCTTAACAAACAAGTTCTGGTTCTGGGGTCTAATGCAACAAGGGATGTTGGAGAGGTACTGGAAACAGAATTACAAAGGCGTGTCTTTGAAAAATGCAATTTCTTTGTATTATTATCTGGTATAATGTATGTGTTATGATATATACTACTATGCTGTATTTGATTACAGCATAATACAGTATTATATGAGATCATATAATCTCGGAAGATGATACTGTATATTTTACAATAACATATTTTATAATATGTAAACAAATACTGTTTTATGATAAATGTTATGCTGCATGCTTATTATGGCATAAGTATATAAAGTACATGATTATATATCATATATATACATATATATGTATATATATATATATATTATTATTTTTTTCAGTATATTATGGTGTTTACCATTATTTCTGATTTTCTCTTTGCAGGGAGTTCAAGAAAAGACTTCTCTTTTTAACATGCAGCTGGACTTAACGGGGGCAGTTCCCAGCCTGATAGTTGCTTTTATCATTGTAGCTAATGGGGATCACCAGGGACGAAAAAAGTCTTTGGTTTTACCATCAACTGGAGCTTTGATTGCAGATATTTTCCTGACTGTAATATCATACTTCTCCTTGCCAATCTCTGTCCTGTTTTTTGTTACATTTATTTCGGGACTGTTTGGGAGTATGGCAACTTTGCTTGGAGGAGGCTTTGCTTATATAGCAGATCAGTGTCATGATGAGAAACAGAAAACAAAACGAATAGCTGTGGTTGATTTAATTTTTGGAGTTGTATCTGGATTGGCAGGACTGTCTTCTGGGTACTTTTTAAGAGAAATGGGCTTTACATGGATATTTGTGACAGCATCTCTACTTCACGTTGTTAACATTATCTATATTATTTTTTTTCTGGAAGACACAGTGCACATATCTGAATTGCAGCAACAGGCACCATTGTCTTATAAAGAATATCTGAAAGAAACATTTTCTGGAGTGTACATGCTTTTTAAAACTGCCCCTTCTAAAAAGAGAATTTTAATCATTGTGTTACTCTTTATATTTATGACTTATTTATTTACTATGTATGGGGGGGGTTCCCTTTTTACATTGTATGAACTGGACGAGCCACTGTGCTGGACTGAAGTGTACATTGGATACGGAGCAGCTGCATTCACTTCTGTCTCTCTGACCAGTTTTTTGGGAGTTTACTTCTTTTCCAAATGTCTCAAAGACATTTACATTGTATTTATCGGGATATTTTCTTACATTGGAGGAATTGTCATGGCTGCCTTTGCCAAAACAACCCTGCTCATGTTTTTAGGTGAGTTCAAAGTCAATTCTCAACAATATAAAAGAAAATCCTTATGTGTGATTTATAGTGATTTGTGGTGGTGGTGGATATTGGATGCACCACACTGAAGAGGTAAAATATACAAGGTTGAGTCATACTGATTTAGGGTTTAATCAAAAGACAAATAGTATGGAGAGTGAATGAATTTACTTGGCTTATGATTTGGTTTTAGTGCTATACACATGTAGTGGATTTAGGGATTCCTCTGTGCTTGGATGCTTATGTTTCAGTGCACAACTGGTTTGATTGATTGATCTCCTTGTACTATTTAGGCGTTTTATTATCTATTAGCACTCAAAAATACCTATCTAGTTCGTTTGCAACATGTCTGTAAAATCTGGGATTTCTGTTACATTCATGTCTCAGTACCGATTCATTGCTTTACAGTAAGATTGCCATCTTTATTCTGCATTATGCCTGTTCCTGTTCTCCGATCCATGCTGTCAAAAGTGGTTCTCCCCAGTGAGCAGGGTGAGTGGAATTTGTTTTTCAAAAATGCTGTGATGTTGTATTTCAGAGGAGAGACACACCAAGGTCACCTTTAAACAAACAGATATATATTGGTATTTTCAGACTGCTTGCTGGATGAGTTTGGAGGTATTTTCCAACCTTGGTGATTCTATGATTCTACTGCAAGTTTCGACTTTGAAAGAAGTTATTGCTCTAAAAAGAAAGATTATGGAGGATATGAAGCAGAAGAATGCTCAATACCTATACAGATCACAGAATCATAGAATGGCTTGGATTGGAAGAAACCTCAAGGATCATCAAATTCCAACCCCCTGCTGCAGGCAGGGTTGCCAGCTGTAGGTCAAGCTCTAGATCAGGTTGCCCAGGGCCCCCTTTGACCTCCAGGGATGGGACATCTGCAACATCTCTGGGCAACCTGTTCCAGCATCTCGCCACCCTATCTGTGGAAAAGTTCCTTGTAGTATCTAATGTGAATTTCCCATCCTTTAACTTAAAACCATTCCCCCTTGTCCTATTACTGTCTACCTGTACAAAAAATGGATTTATCTCCTGTTTGTAGTCTGCCTTTAAGTCCTGGAAGACCATAATGAGATCTTCCCAGAGATTTCTCTTCTTCAGACTGAACAAGCCCATCTTCCTCATCCTGTCTTCATAGGAGAGGCATTTCATCCCTCTGATCATCCTCATGGTCCTCTTCTGGACTCTTTCCAAATGCTCCTCATCCTTCCTGAGTTGAGGGTCCTGGACCTTGACACATTAGAGTCCAGGTGGGCCTAGAGATGGGGGAAATCAGAATAGAGGGGGACAGTCACCTCTCTCTCCCTACTGGCCACCCCTCTGTTGATGCAGCCACGATACTGTTGACCTTCTGGGCTGCAAGCACACACTGCTGGCTCATGTTTTTCATCTGTCAGGACCCCTGTGTCCTTCTCAGCAGGGCTGCTTTCAAAGATTTCTTCTCTCAGTCTGTATATTTATCTGAGATTACTGAGTGCAACATTTGCAGCTGGCTTTATTAAACCTCATTAGGTTTACACGGTCCCACCTTTCAAGTTTATCAGGGTCTTTCTGGATGGCATCCCTTCCTTCTCCATATCAACTACACTGCTCAGCTTGGTGTCAGCAGCAGACTTGCTGATGATGTACTCAATCCCATCATCTGTCACTAATGTTAAAGAGTACTGATTCCTAGATGGGCCCCTGGGAGACACATCTCATCACTGGCCTCCACCTGAACATAGAACCACTGACCACAGCCCTCTGGTTGTGACCTTCCAACTAATTCCTTATCCGCCAAATAGTCCACCCTTTGAACCTACATCTGTCCAATTTAGATGTAAGGGTGCGGTGGGGACCATGTCAAAGTCCTTGCACAGGTCCAGGTAGATGACATCAGTTGCCTTTCCTTTGTCCACCACTTCATCACAGAAGGTCACCAGTTTGATCAGACGTGCCCTTCCCTTGGTGAAGCCTTGCTGGTTGTCTCCAATTACCCTCTTGTTCCTCATGTGCATTAACATCTCTTCAAGGAGGATCTGCTCCATGATCTTCCCAGGCACAGAGGTGAGGCTCACTGGCCTGTTGTTCCACTGATCTTCCTTTCTCCCTTTCTTAAAAATGGGAGTGATATTTCTGTTTTTCCAGTCACCAGGGACTTCATCTGTCAGCTATGACTTTTCAAACACGTGGAGAGCAGCTTGGCAACCACATCACGCAGCCCTGGGTTGCAGATGCAATATTACAGTTCCTTTTGTAAACATGACGTGTAGAGCAGCTTCTACATTCACAAGATTTTGATGGAGAAAATAAACGCTTGTTGTTTCATCAGTGTCGCGCTTTATAACTTAGAAAGATAAGCATTAAGTGGTCAGCCTTCAGTACACTTAAAAACAAAGGCTTGGATGCCGAGCAATGTACCAGCTTCACAAATGCCCATGACCACTTAAAGGTGTCTCAAGGGCTGTAACATATTATTTCTAGAAGTGCTTTCTTTAATGGAACACACACACAGAGACATGTGAGGCCTCAAAATATGTCTCTGGTGTCTCATGTTTTGCTGCAGCCAGATTTTGAGGAGCACATATTGTCTAGAAGCATTCTTGTGAGTTGGTTTTAATTTTAAAAAGTACACATCTTTAGACACTGAAACAAAGATCTCTTTGTACTGTTGTACAAAGTACTTTGTGCTATGTTTCTGTTGTTGTTTCTTGGCATTCTTTGTGGCTTTGGATACTTGAGTAATTTGATGCAGGAATTAGGTTGCCTCTTGCCATCCTTTTCTGCTTACCTGTTGTGATTTTGTTTATAGTCTGATTAATATGGACGCAGCTTGGCAAAATGTGTCCAAAAATCTGCAGATGGCATAGGCTAACACCTCACAGTGTAGTGCAGAGCCAGTGAAAGATTGCTTCTTTCATTTAAAAAATGAGAAGGGTATGGTTATGTGCTGAACCAGCAGTCCTTGTTGCTCTTTATTGCAAAGAGCCTTTTCCACATGTAAGAATGGAGACTAGCAAAGGAGGAAACAAGAAAGGGGAGACTGAGAATAGAGGGGAGAATTGAAAAGGGTAAAGGATGAAGCTGTGCAGAATGTGGTTAGTGAGTATGAACAGCTTGAATTTCATGTAACAAATAGATTCAATATAGCAATGCGGTGACAGGATAATAGCAAAGAAAAGTAGTTTCCTCTAACAACAACAGCAACAACAAAAAATTTCATTTAAAAAGTCTTCTGTAGGAGTCCCCATGGAAGACACCTCCATAACAAAGATATATGGTACTCAGGAGCTTGTTACTTGCACACTTGCTGAAATATTGCAGATAGATCTTTTGAAACAAGTTTAAAAACTTGGAAAGTGTTTTGGTTTTGTTTTGTTTGTAATCCAATCCAATTTGTTATTTTGCAGGTGCTGTGTTTGCTTGTATTGCCTGTTTAGAAATTTTGACTGGCACTATTTCACTTGCAGTCTTTAATGTTATCTATGCAGCTACAGTTGCATGGTTTTCAGGCTTTAGCTTCCTCTTGTCAGCCATCCTGTGTTTAATTCCACTGGGCGTACTGTGGTAAGTACATATCAGGAAGGTGCTTCTGAGTGCTTTTACTGGTGGTTTCTGTTTTGGCATGAATTGAAGCTGTGTGGTTTAATGCATTATCAAACTTCAGTTTTTTCTAACTCACTGGGTGTATTTTGTGTGTAGCCCTTTCTTCACTTTTCATCTAATTTAGGAACTAGTTATATATAGCAAACCTATGGCAGATACTCGGAGGCTTGTCAGCAGGGAACTGCTTGGAGTATGGCAGAGCTGAGACTGGGGAATATAGCAGTGATATGAGTTTTCCAGTGGGGGACAAGACAGAAGGCAGGGAATCCAGGCTGTAGAGTTTTAGTTTCAGTTTGGTTCAGTGCTGCATGGTAGAGAAGGTTCCTGTTAAAACATTCTGTCATGAGCAAAAGCTAACAAATACTAATTACGAAATCACTCCATCCTGCAATCAAAACCACTGTCGATCATCATAATAAATTTTGGAAAGCTGCTTTTCTTCCATCGTTAGTTTCTCGGATGTCCCATCCTTTGAATAACCGCTCTCCAAAGCCTTCAGTTTGTCACACAGCGTTACTGTTTGAGAGATGAAATGTTAGTAGTTCCTGTCTGTAATCAGTCTGCCTGCTAAGTTGGTATTTTTCACACGCAGCAGAAATGATATTGCCTAACTTTTCTAATGAGGGACAAGTACTATCATTGGTTTTGTTTATTAAGATATGTCCAGGGCTTTGTGCTGTGGGAGATGGCTGTAACAGAACTATCAGGTTTGTTTTTACTGCTGAATCATCACGCTATACTCAGCTAACAGTATCTGTCTTATCTGTGCATTGCAGCTGGCTTCTGTGCACAAGCTGGAATGAGGAGGACTTGGCTCTGCTTGTACCTGAAGAAGTATCCAGCATAGACAGCGTTGATAGTTGAACAGAGGAGTCACCAACTGTTTGGCTTTTCTAATCTGACGTGCTGTGGCAAAGGCCATTGTGTCATACTGACACCATAGAGATAACTCATGAGTTGCGGATGAAATCTAAAACTGGCTGCACTAAGCACTCAATTGATAGCACTTTACATCCAGTCTTTTTTTAGCACTTGAATGAACCTATCTCCTGTACTTAACTATGCAGATAGGCCAGCAATGGAGATTTTAATGCTGCTTTCAGCGTGGTGAAAAAAAGTAAGGTAGGCTGATTGTCTTTTGCCACTTACCCCATCTCAAATTTGAAAATATAAGCTGTAGATTATGATACATCTTGTGTCAGTCTAAGTGGGGGTACAGAGATAAGCTTATCAGTCCCTTATCCAGAGGATGTTGGCAATTCTGCTGGAGCCAGTGGAGCTCGTGCCAGCTGTGCATGCAGTCCACTGCGTACATCTTAAAAGCTCCATCTTAACTGTGAAGCCCACAGAACTGTCTAAAATTACTAAACGAAAAGGTACCTCTTTCAGAAAGCAACTGAATGGAAAGCAAGACTTGTACCTGCTGTAAGACTTACCTCTCTGCAGTTACCAGAGAATGTTTCACAGAATCACAGAATCGTAGGGGTTGGAAGGGACCTCCAGAGATCATCGAGTCCAACCCCCCTGCCAAAGCAGGTTCCCTACACCAGGTCACACAGGTAGGCATCCAGGCAGGTCTTGAACATCTCCAGAGAAGGAGACTCCACCACCTCCCTGGGCAGCCTGTTCCAGTGCTCCGTCACCTCACTGTAAAGAAGTTCTTGCGCATGTTTGTGCAGAACTTCCTGTGCTGCAGTTTCCAGCCGTTTCCCCTCGTCCTGTCTCCACTCACCACTGAAAACAGTCTGGCCTCGCCATTCTGCCCCCCACACCTTAGATATTTATAGACCTGGATCAGGTCCCCTCTCAGTCTTCTTTTCTCAAGGCTGAACAGACCCTCACTTTTCAAGGCTCACTTTTCAAGGCTGAACAGACCCTCACAGTTCACTCAGCCTTTCTTCATAGGAGAGATGCTCCAGGCCCTTCACCATCTTCGTGGCCCTCCACTGGACTCTTTCCAAGAGATCCTTGTCTTTTTTGTACTGGGGAGCCCAGAACTGGATGCAGTACTCCAGATGAGGTCTTACCAGGGCAGAGTAGAGGGGGAAGATCACCTCCTTCGACCTGCTGGCCACGCTCTTATCAATGCACCCCAGGATGCCATTGGCCTTTTTGGCCACAAGGGCACACTGCTGGCTCATGGCCAACCTGTCATCCACCAGGACACCCAGGTCCCTCTCCGCAGAGCTCCCCTCCAGCAGCTCATCCCCCAACCTGTACTGGTGCATGGAATTATTCCTCCCCAGATGCAAGACTCTACACTTGCTTTTGTTAAACCTCATCCGGTTTTTTTCTGCCCAGCTCTCCAGCCTATCCAGGTCTTGCTGAATGGCAGCACAGCCTTCAGGCGTGTCAGCCAATCCTCCCAACTTCGTATCATCAGCAAACTTGCTGAGGGTGGCCACTATCCCCTCATCAAGGTCATTGATGAAGATGTTGAACAAGACCGGACCCAGCACAGACCCCTGAGGAACACCGCTGGTTACAGGCCTCCAACCGGACTCTGCACCACCAACAACGACCCTCTGTGCTCTGTCAGTCAGCCAGTTCTCAACCCACCTCACTGTCCACTCATCTATCCCACATTTCCTCAGCTTTGTTATAAGGATGTCGTGGGGGACAGTATCAAATGCCTTGCTGAAATCAAGGTAGACTACATCCACTGCTCTACCCCCATCCACCCAGCCAGAGACAACATCATAGAAGGCTACCAGGTTGGTCAAGCACGACCTCCCCCTTGTGAACCCGTGCTGACTACTCCTGATAACCTCCTCAAATATTATATATAAATATATTGTGCAAGTTGAATGTATGGTGTTTGGAGCTTGCCTGTGATTTAGTTCTTAAAATGGGTTTTCACACTTAGGAAATTTCCAGACTGTAAGAGTGTGAAGTTAGGCCTGTGCCTACATTTTGCAGAGGCCATACTGCACATTTATTTTTAAATTATAAATCTTTCATCATTTTTTTCACATAGTGGAGGCTACCTAAAGACAACTCTATGTTTTGTCCCATGGATATTTCTTGTTTTCCAGTTAAGCTGGCAGCACTGAACTCGCTTTGTATTTCTAATGAAAGGCTGTAACAGCTTTTTTTTTTCAGTGGATCTTCAGATACTTTTTTAATTAATTCTGAAATGAGGTGACCAGATCTGAACTGTGCACCTAAGCATCTTAAAATGAATGCAGTGTAATTTATTTGCACTTGAATAACATTTCTAATCTTCAGAGCACTTTACAAATGCTGCTGGGAACTTCCCTTTACAATATATTATCCTCCCTGTTTCAGAGAAACAGAAATCAACAGACAGGAGAAGTGACTTGCTCTGGGTCACATTGCAAATTGTGAAGAGCTCTAAACCTAGAGATCAGTTTTTGTGTTGATTCTTCAGCTTTTTCCTTGAGATCTATAGGCAGAAACTAGCCACAGTATTAGCTTTTGGAATGCATAGCATAGCAAAAGTGGGAATAAAAAGAAGTGGGAATGAACACCCTATTAAAGATCACTCCCATGTGTTATTTTAGGAGAGAGTTCTATAGCCAAAATTGTCCTGATCCCTGAAAGGAGAGGTAGGTTGTATGTGACTGTCTTCCCCAAGAAAGAGTAGTCAGCAAAATCGAAATGTATCGGGAGACAGATCGTTATTACCAAGAGTACTTCTGCAGAGCTCCTCAGTGGCACATAATAGTGCATCAGGGCAATGCTATCATGGATCCTTTTTGTTTGAAAGGCAGTGTTGTTCATGATACGTCACACAACCAAAAAATGGTTAGAGTTGGAATGGAGCTTACAGCCCACCCAGCCCCAGCCCCTGCCATGTGCAGGGATACTTCCCAGCAGCTCAGGCCACCCAGGGCTGCACACAGCCTGACCTTGAGTGCTTGCAGGGATGGGGCGCCCACAGCTCTCAGGGCAGCCTGAGCCTCACCACTCTGTGAGAAAAAGATCACTGCTATCTGTTATTGGGGGAAATGATGCAGGAGGACGTGGAGCTCTTGGGGCGGGTCCAGAGGAGGGCACTGAGATGATCAGAGGGCTGGAGCACCTCTCCTGTGAGGAAAGGTTGAGGGAACTGGGCTTGTCTAGCTTGGAGAAGAGAAGGCTCCGGGGAGACCTCATCATGGCTGTCCAGTACTGGAAGAGAGAGTATAAACAAGAGGGGGAACGGCTGTTTATGAGGGTGGATAGTGACAGGACAAGGGGGAATGGTTTTAAACTGAGACAGGGGAGATTTAAATTAGATATTAGCAGGAAGTTTTTCACACAGAGGGTGGTGACGCACTGGAACAGGTTGCCCAAGGAGGCTGTGGATGCCCCATCCCTGGAGGCATTCAAGGCCAGGCTGGATGTGGCTCTAGGCAGCCTGGTCTGGTGGGTGGCAACCCTGCACATAGCAGGGGGTTGGAGCTAGATGATCTTTGAGGTCCTTTTCAATCCAGGCCATTCTGTGATTCTATAAAGACAGTTACTTTTCTCCAGGAGAGAAAATGCTAACTAGTATGGATGAGTATTTTGCTTCTGTCCTCGTTAACCAAAACTTATGTTGGCAATTAAAGATCATTAGCTTTTCCTAGTTTATGCACTAGCCAGTAAATAAAACTGTGTAACTCTTCACCCCTGAGGTGCCCAAGTTGCTGCCAACTTGTGTAAGAAGCAAGATGAGTTTTACAGTAATCACTGGGTCCAAAACTTAACAAGTACTTGTAGAGACATTAAGGATACACTGATGTAAAGAGTTTCAGCACAAAGACTGCGCTGTCTTCCTTTTGTCTTCATTAAGCAGTTTTCTAAGTGTTTGTGAAATTAACTATTGCACAGTGCCTGGAAGTGGAAAAAAAAAAAACAGGGGTATGCCTTCACTTCTTCAGTGAAAGTAGCAAGGCAGTTCTGTGGCTGCACTCTGCTGGGAATAAGAAGGTGCACGTGCACTTTGGGAATGGCTTTGGTAAGGTTCGATGTTGCTGTACCAAGTATTTGCTGTTTACAGAATATTTCAGCTAGACACAGTGTATGGGATTGCTGAGTTTCAGCCAAAACACATGAAGGGCATGATTTGCGTTTTTAAAGTGCCTAGCATTGAAAATGTTGAGGAAACCAGGTACTAATGTGCTTTATTTTCAAGTATGTAGCAGTTGATTTATTTGTATTTAAATACAGATTATTTTAACAGAAATCAATAGTGAAATTTGGTCTAAATTCTGTGTTGTAGTTCTTCATGTGGCTTTTGGCAAATGGCCAATGGGAGGAATGGTAGAGTAGCACTTAAGCAAGCAGCATACAGCGGTGACACGCTGCTGCCTGTTTGTGCAGTCGTAGCAAACAAACTGCAGTGCAGGAAGATGTGATTTTGCTTCCCTCCTGTGCTGGGGGAGAGGAAGGGATGCTGCCCACAACATCAGCACCAACAAGAGATGAACTGCAGAACAGATCCAACACTGCTGTGGGCCACAAGTCAGTGTAGGGGCTGCAGTGCTGCATGCACTTGAGAGCACCTTCCTCCCATGGCCCAGACTGAGTCCCAGATGAGCCCTAGCAGCAGGGCTGACCCAGCCGGCCGCACACCTCACACGGCGCACATCTGCTCAGGCTCTGCTTGTGGGCTGCTGCTTGCAGCTTCACAGAAGGAAGCCTGGAGAGACAGGGAGAAGGGGCTGGGCCAGAAAGACCAGCTTCCCCCTCAACCAGTTTAGTAGTAACACTTCCTTTTAATCCCAAAAGCTCTTTGCCTCTGTTTGACTTCCATTACATTAACAGCATACCACATAAATTCTTGTATGTGCTTCATAGACACCATTTGCTTTCCAGCCTGGCTGACTCCTAAAATTAGCATCCTTACAGACATGATGAACAATGCAACTTCCCTACTCTGAATATGGCTTGATCTCACCCTGCCCTGAGCCTACCACAACACAAAGTCTGGTGAAACCCGACCTACTTGCTCTGCAACAGCTTGCTCTTGCTTCAGACATATCCACTAAGAAATTTCACTTTTATTGAACATGAGCGTTTCCTGCTAATTTAAAGCATAGCAGCTCACAGAAAGAACAGCGACATAAAACATCGAGTAGGTCTATGCTTTCATGTTAAATTTATTAGCCCTTTCATATAACCTCACTGAGGCAACAGATACATCTGAGGGCTTAATGTTTACTTCATTAGAAAACCTCTGATCTCTCCAACTCTTAAAAGGCAATTTTGAGTTTCTTAAAAAAACAACAAAACCACCAATAAATTATCTCGTCATCTCAGTGTTTTTAATTTGCTGCAACATTTTGCAATAAATATGCATAAGAGCACCATGAAATTTACATGAAGACAGCTAGAAGCTGTGGTGCATATGCGTAAGGAGTTTATGGCAGTTTTAAGCACACTGAAAAGCCCAAGAAATGCTTGAGGTTCTGGGACTGTGAACAGGCTTGTAGCAACATTTCTCATTTCTGCTAACATCATCTATAGCAGCACCCTTAGCACTTCACCTAAGAGTAATAAAAATCTGCTGGATAAAATAATTCCTGCCTCAGAAGTATTGTTTCACACTCCCTGCAGATGACAAGAGATTATCCATTTTGAACCACAACCCCTTTTGTTCCATTAGTAAACACACAGAGGGGGTGGTCACAGACATATGGTGTCTGTCCACCACAAGCAATACAATAAAGACTGGAAAAGTCTGTCTGGTTATTCTCTTGGTTGCCTGCAATGCCAAACCACTCCAGCTGCCTTAACAGGAGGGAGGAAATGCATGCAGCAGGATTCCACTGGCAGTGCAGAAATTAAAGATCTTTAAAGGAATGGCAAGAAAAAGTAACAACGCTGTGTTGTGGACAAGAGATCCACGATTCACAATTAATTGTATTTTGGAACACAACAGCATTTATAGCAAACTTTTATTCAATGCTTAAAAAAGTGTATGGAAGTTTTCATGAACAAAGCATTACTCGATGGAAAACATCTTTGTTTCCTCCTTAAAAAGTTCTGCAAGAACATCCATTAAATGCATTTACCTACAATAATCACTTTTAAAATGCATGGGTACTTGGATTTCTTGTACACATGTATAGCATTTCCATAACTAAGAGACTTATCCTGAGCAGTGTATGAGAAGACATTATTTAAGCTGTCTAGTTACAGGACATTTATATAATTGACAACAAGCACAGAACAATGTATGGACTTTAAACATTTAATATGCCTTTTCACCAAGGAAGGCAAATGACATCTGCATGACGCTGAGAGTCAATTTAGTGAACACATATTTAGATCTGCAGTATAAAGACACACACAAAACATTCTGGAGTACATTTTGTTACAATAAACCAAGTTTGTATTCCATCATCATGTGGGGCTCTCCCATAACTTCACTTTGTGAAGGATCTGAAGAAAAAAAGAAGAGTCAAAAGCATTAGGCTTTTACCAAGCTACAAAGGCTTTTACTTAATTTTTTCATTGTAATGCTTAGTGCAAAAATTGCTCAATTGATTCTTGACAGTACTGCACAGTGCACCTCTGTCCAAAGCAATGATCAGATAACCAGTACACCTACAGTGGAACAGTGATGTGAGTGTTTTGTAAGGGGGCAGAAGGGAACTGCTCAAGTAAAACCAAGTAGTTCTACAAAAGCACAACATCCTATAATGGCTAAATGAGATCTGTATCTAATAAAATGCAAGTCTGACCACAGCTTCTTCCACAGGTCCCATACACCTTTCCAATGCAACTTTTCTTTAGAACAAGAGGAGTTGATCATTCAGCCCTTCTGCTTGCTGGAACATGCTCGTGTTCTTTTCTCCAACCTACTGCCTTGTTTCACAAAACTCCTATGCCCTTAACGATCTTCTGAGATTCCTCCCTTGCCCTAAGTATGGTTCATATTGACTGCTGTATTGAAAGACTATCCAGGAACACGTGGGAAACACAAGCCACCAATCACTGACAGTATGAACTTCACTTCCATACAAAAGTCCATGTCAAAAAAAAAAACAAGGCTGCAAATGCACCTTGGAAGAAAGGTCCACTGCAGCTGTATTGGACTGCTTTTTCCTCTCATAAATAAGGCATATTAATGATTTTGTCCTCTAATCCTTCTTTCTAATTATAGAACTTATAAAAAAAAACTTATGTCTTTGTAATCTCTGCCTTTCAAAATCTGTGAAATTAGCTCAAAAATCTCTGGGGATCAGACATCCAGTATAAAAGCATCATCTTCACCTCCTCCAGAAACCCAGCCCAAAAACAAATACAGACTTCCTTAGCACTGCAGATTACATTCCATGCAACTAGCAACTGAACCACACCTATTCATCTTTCTCAGGTGCTTCTTTGCCTTTTGGAACTCAATTTTTTATTTCCAGTATTTTCCAATTTTTTCCAATTTTTTTTTTCCAGTCATAAAACCATGACAGCTTTTAAAAGTCTTATTCCCTAGTGGCAAAGAGCTACACAGTTCCTAAATTTCACCTTTCAGTGTTTCTAAAATATTCAAAACTATGTATATACCATTAAGAATATCCTCAAAACCGATGCATTCATCATTTCCTCTCAGAGTATCCAGTGCCATATTTGAGCTGTGAAGAAATGGGAGACGCTGGGCCTGTAAAAGGACAACAAGAGTTAAAGGTTTTTGCAAGACTGAAATGGAGATCTTTGCATTTCTGAAGTGTGAGTCACCATCCCTGAATGTATTTAAACACCCCCTGGATGTGGTGCTTGGGGATGTAATTTATGGGTGGCTGTTAGGGCAGCATGGTTAAGTTGCAGTTGGATTTGATGATCTTTAAGGTCTTTTCCAATCTGAGCTATTCTGTGACTGAGAAAAGTGACAAGCAGTCACCTGTTCCTTTGAAAACGATGATAAAGTAAGAAAACTACCAGCACACATCAATATCAAAATCTACCATCATCATCACCCTCATCACTCCTCATCACAGTTTTGAGAAGAGCAGCCTTTCACCTGGTTTCTACATTTCACTGCAGTGCAGCTATTGGTTTTAAAAAGTTGTGCTTTTTTTTCTTCCTGTTCTGCTCCCATGAAGTTGTGGAGGGTCTACAGTCTAACTGCTGGCACAACTGTCAGATGTCCCAATACAAACTATTCCCTTAAACACTTTAGAAAGGTGTAATTAAACCACAAAGGAGCTTCTATATCTAAGAAGACACACAAAAGCAAGGAGCAAAGAGTCTTTTAAATCACCATGTTTCTCACCCTCAAATGTTTGTGGAGATACAGTAGTAGGACCTTAGCCCTCAACTGTCTCATTTTCTGCATATCAGTTAGGAAAAAGATTTTTCCTCACAAGAGAGTACAGTTGAGATAAAGGATATATCTCAACTATATATATCCTATATTAAATATATCCTGTCTCTTGCCTTTCATCTTCAGGACAAGAAATTTCTTCCAAGTTTAATGGAACTCAGTGTGGTTCAGTAGTACAAAATCCACTGGGAGTATAAAATTCACAGAATCACAGAACTGTAGGGGTTGGAAGGGACCTCCAGAGATCATTGAGTCCAACCCCCTGCCAAAGCAGGTTCCCTACACCAGGTCACACAAATTGCACCCACTTACATGAAAAAACAACTCTTAGTAGCTTGATTATCTTCAACAAGTAAAAAAAATAATTTACTTGGACCACCAAACTGTGTTTCCTAAGGGACAAAGTCAGCCACGTTCTAATTACTCTCCATCCAGGGGATAAAAGGGAAAAGGAGGCAGCCTCAGCTTCCCAATTAAAAGTTAAAACCTTTGAATTTCCTGTAGACCTTCCCTAATCTTACAAGAACAGCTGTAAAGAAATACTAAGCACATATCAGATTTCCTGCTCCAGGTTTTGCATTGCCTCTGTATCTACTCCTGCATCAATACCTGCTTCAGAGCCCCAAGCTTTCTTCTCCCTACAGCTGCAGATACTCCTTATGAATGTCATATGCTACACACAGCAAAGTATTAATTTTTGAATTAAGGGGAAAAATAGAAAGCTCGTCCACAGAAAGCTTAAGAATGCTTACCACTTCAACAAGTAGCAAATAAAACAGCAGCAGCTGAAGGCCTTTAGCACACTGACTGCTCTGAAAATTACTGACTGCAATAATTCTTTTTAACAGTTCGGTGAAAACTACTTTTGGAAACCAAATGGTTGTACAGCAAGACAGAAAGACATCTTTCTGAAACCTTCCATTCCCAAAGATGCCCTCATGTGGTTTAAGCAGTGGCAGTTCGATAAGGCATGCCTACCTGTTTCACTGCTCTGAGTTCCATCTGCAGCTTTAAGGGCGCGTGGAGTCCTTGAATATTTCTCAGCATGGCAAAGTTTGTTTTATCTTGATTTAACTGGAACTGCCACAAACAAAAAATGCTTTTAGTTTTTAGGAAAAGCGACTTTCAAATACGAGCGTGGAAGAGATCTGCAATGTCCTGCTTCAATGAAATTGCTAATTAATGCAGGTATAAAAAAATCCAGTAATCACAGAATGGCCCGGGTTGGAAGGGACCTCAAGGATCATGGATCTCCAACCCCTCTGCCACATGCAGGGCCACCAACCCCCACATTTAATGCTAAACCAGGCTGCCCAGGGCCCCATCCAACCTGGCCTTGAACACCTCCAGGGACAGGGCATCATGTGATACCATCATATGCACATCAAATGTACATGGAAGAGAGTGATGCAGTAACATCTGTTTTATAGAACTGAAATTGAATTTTGCAGGATTTTATTATGAATCAAGCAAAGTAATTTTTTTCTTATTTTTTTTTGACACTGAGGATGTGTAACTCCACCAAGTGGTGCAGTTGTGCACTACTTTGCCACAATATTACAAGCACAGAAAAGGGAAACTAAGTCTGGTTTAATGTAAGAACAGAAAGCAGACATTGTGAATTTTACTCTTATTTATTCTATTACAGACTACTTGAAAACACTTGGAATATATTTTTTCTCTTTATCATATATACGATGTATCACTCTAAAAAAATATCAAAAAGCTCATAATTTTACAAGCTGTTCTAAAACTGATCAGTAACACAAAGAAAATCATCTACATAATAGAGGTGGGTTGTTTTTTTTTTAAAAAAAAAAAAACAAAAAAGTGCTGGCTTGTGACTACTGAATTATACAACAGACAGTTCTCAATAGCCCTGAAGCTTGAGTCACCTGGCTCCAATTCTGACTTTCCCAGTCCTAACAACATGCCTGCAGTGTCAACATAACACGCGACTGTAAAGCAAACCAAAGAGTACCAACGTCTTATTTTAAAACCTGTACTCAGTGCTCATAACAGAACATTGAACCTATGATCCACAGGCCACTGTGAAACAGCCCACAAGTGATGACTAAGCTGGACAAGACTACAGTTAGAACAAACTGTCTGCATACAATTTCTAGATGGGATAACGTAACGTAGAATAAAATATCTATGGGTCACAAAAAAAAAATCTAACAATGAAGACAAATGGCAAATCTAAAGACAAAATAGGAAGATTAGCCTTCCAGAGGTGACAGGTGCGCTGCCAACCTAACTGCAGAGGTTGCACTCAGAGCCTTCAGCTGGCTACACCTCAGTAGGTAAACCCTGAACTGGAGGCCCGCTTACATACTAAGAGTCACGAGTAGAAGATTAATTGTTAAATAAAGTTGCCAGCAGTGCACAAATAAAACATTATTGCTGTTACACACTTTTACCTTGCTAAAGGCAAAACCCTCCTCCACCTTCCTGGCTGGAGCACAGAGCAACCCAATGAACCACAGCACTAAATTAAAGTCCACAGTAAGAGTGAAAAAGGTGACATTTGACATTATACTTACATTTTTTTCTGACAACTCCAGTGGGTGGCTGGGCACCAACTCATTTTTCACACAAGAAAACCTAGAAATGCAAGGAAAAAAATTAGTTTCAAAAAATTAATACATGTATATTCCAACTAGCATTTATTTCATAAAGACCAATACTTGCTCAGCATTTTCCTAAAAAGGAACATCAAATATTATCTACTTCTTGAAGGGATGTTTAACAGAAAATTTAAAAGAATGTGACTAAACTCACAGGCATCAGGCTATAGCTTATTATTAGGCTTACAGATTCACCTGCCAAGAACCTTCTTTAAAAAGCAAGCATTTAAAAACAGATTTTCCTCCTACATTAGAAGTTTGACATTAGCTATGGCACAATTTAACACGAAAAAACGCAAAGCATACCCTCTGCGCAGACCATGAGCTTCAAATGATCCAGGAAGTGAAAAATCAGTAATTGGGATACTGTCTTTCAACAGAGAAGAAGCTCCTCTGGACTCCTGGAACACAAAGTAAGGACTATTATAGCAGAAGTAGGCCTCTTTCATATGTGCTGTTAGATAAAGTAAATGAAAAATTGCTCCAACGCTCCTCAAACGATTTTTGTACAAGTCCTACACTTCAGAGTCTCTTTAATTAAAAAAAAAAAAAAGGATTAAATCAATTATTTCAGAGTTTCATGGCTAAAGGTAGTAACAAAACGTTTTGGGGATGTGGCAGAAACAGAAACAATTAACTCCTGTTAGTTTCCACCCTGCACTGCAAGGATGGAAAGGAAGAAAGATCATGCTTGGCTTCAGTACAGACACAGTTAATCCCTTAAGAATCAGTTAAGATTAGATTGATCATGCCCATGGTTTTAGGCTCCCCATGAAGAGGTGTACTCTAGCATTCTAATATCTTAGCTCATGGAAAGAGCAAAGGAGAAACACTAACTTGTAGCAGAAACTAGAATATCACACCTCACAGATATATTATATGAAGCCACCATAACCTGACAACTGACTTAAAGCTAACCCGTCTGATTTTACTGAAGTGATCTCAGCATTATTCATACAGAGTGCCTCACCAACACACTGATGTCTCTGGAAGGTGACAGTGATGAGCTGCTCAATACAGGAGTTCCCTCCAGAAGCAACATAGGATTAAACAGAAAACATGTGCTCACAACTAAGACCTCCTGTATCAACATGTTGCCACGGTAACAGTCAGTAAGCTGGTACTGATGAGAAAAACCTAAAATAGCTGCTATTATGTGCATGCATAAGGGCTGAGGGTAAAAAATTCAACATCAGGCAGCAGTGTGTTTGGAGCCTGGAAGGCCAACAGTACAGGAGGGACGCAAAACTACTGAACTGTGTTTAGAGGAAGGCCACAAAGGTGCTCAGAGGGCTGGGGCACCTCTGCTATGAAAAAAGGCTAAGGAAGGCTTGTTCAGCTTAGAGAAGAGAAAGCACTGGGGACACCCCAATGCAACCTTACAGTACTCAGAGGAAACATACAAACAAGAGGGATAGCAACTTTTTACAGGATTTTATAGTGATAGGACACTGGGTTTAAACTAGAAAAAGGCAGCTTTAGGTTCGATGCTAATAGAAAATCCTTTACTCAAAGGCCAGCGAGGCACTGGCACAGGTTGCCCAGAGAAGCTGTAGGCACCCCATCCCTGGAAACACTCAAGGCCAGGCTGGATTGGGCCCTGGGCAGCCTGAGCTGCTGGTTCCTACCCACGGTACAGAGGTGGAACCGAGTGAGCTTTGAGATCCCTTCCAACCCAAACTACTCTGTAATCCTATATACATCATCTACCAATCATCACACTCAACAACAATCAGACCTTCGTGAGACTGCTGCGAAGAAAACACACAGAAGAGAGAAATCGCCTCTAAGATGAGACGAGAGGAAAGATCAGAGCACAAGCAATTAAAACGCAAGGAGGAAGCTACGCAGCGCTGCCGTGAAGTAACCCGGGGCCCCGCTTATGCCAGAGCACTGCCCACCCCACGCAGGGGAGAGTCAGGGACCCCGCAAGCCCACCGCCGTATTCTCTGCACGAAGCTCCCTCGTTCTCAGCGCTCCGTGCCTACCGGCGCCGCTGCCCGCATAGCGGGGCTCGGAGTTGGGCCGCGCCGGATCCCCGTGACTCAGCACGGCCCCTCCGCCCGCCCAACGCCCACCATTCTGCCAAAGGGCAGAGGCGACGGCTAGGGCAGCAGGCAGACCGACCGCCCCCCGCCGCCTTCACGAAAAGAACGGCGGCAGCAAAACGCCGGCTCACCGCCAGCCCGCACTCACCATCCTCACTCCACGCTCGCAGCCACTTCCGCTTCCTGCTCGTCACTTCCGGTGCTCGGACCCCAGCAGAGGGGGGCGTGGCCTCGCGGGGCGTGGCCTCACAGGACGGACGTGGCCTCGAGGGGGCGTGGCCTCGAGGGAGGGGGTGGAGCCGAGCGGGAGGGGCGGTGGCCGCGCTCAGCGGGCGGCCGTTGATGGCCGCTGTTGGTGGCTGCCCGCGCGCTCTGTGTGGACGCTGGCTCGCTCCCAGGCCGCGGGGCTGTTTCTGTGCGGCCATGCAGAACCCTGTGCCTGCGTTGGGCAAGGTCTGCGTTTCCTGGGGGCTGTGGCTTGCTGAGTCACCCTCGTTGTGCAGGCGTTCCCTCGCACCTGCTGGCAGCTGCGCAGTGTGGGAAGTTCATAGAATCATAGAATGGCCTGGGTTGAAAAGGAGCTCAAAGATCATCGAGTTTCAACCCCCCTGCTATGTGCAGGGTCGCCAACCATCAGACCAGGCTGCCCAGAGCCACATCCAGCCTGGTCCAACCTGTTCCAACCCTGCCTTTTCCTGCCACCAAACCCTTTTAGTTCTCTGTGGGTCACAAGTGCGTGTAGATGGCAAATGTGTCGCTGCTGATGGCCTGCGGGAGCTCCAGGAGGGACCTTCTGAAAGTAAATGTGGCCTTGGCCGCAATGGTTGCTCCAGGGCAGCGCCAGGTGGGCATGAGGTGTTGGGGCAGCCCTAGGTGCCCTGCTGCTCCATCAGACACATTGGAAATAGCTGTCGAGAGCTTTGATGAAGGCTGTGGTGTAAGTCGGTGGCCCAGCCCATCCCCACCATGCTCACTGGCCACGTTCCTCAGAGCCACGTGGTTCTTGGACATCTCCAGGGTCAGTGACTGCACCTCCCCAGGGAACCCCTCACCACTCCTCTGGGGAAGGAATTTTGCCTAATACCCAACCTGAATACAAATGACAACAGTGTGCAAACAGGGTTAACATCAGCTTATGCTTGAAGAGGTTTGAAAGCTATTCCAAGAGTTACAAAGGTTGCCACAGAGGTTGCAGGATAAATGCAGTTTTCCTCTATCTTGGGCAAAATCAGAACACCTAGTGAAAACATTCTCGACCAAAGTTCTGGCCTTTTGTGTTACGATCGCAGGCTTAAAGCACAGACTTCAAAAGAATGGGAATGGGGAATTGGGTATTTTAAGTCATTTTTAGGAAAATGGGTACCACAAAGGTTTCTCTGATCTTATAATGGGTACTCGGATATTGTGGTGCTGGGTTCATTATTGTAGAACAGAAATGAATACAGAAAAACAAATCAAGTTCCTGTTTAACCACAGCTTACAGAAAAGCTAGGTTTGTCATTAAATGTATTTATTTATTGACCGACTTTGTTGATCAGGATATGACTGTAGAGATGAAACATTTAACTTTCAAAGTCATTCTTGCAGGATGCAGACAGGATACAGTCACTCCATGTACATTTTTACAGCGCTGCGATCCAGCCTAGGCCGCATAACATAAAAGAACGTGCATTGCAAGAAAGATCTGCTCTTCCTTTAAAGGCCAGCTTTCACACTGGGGAAAACTTCCAGACATAAACAGAAATCACACGTGTATTTTCTCACCAAATTATCGAGAATTTTGAATTTGAGCAACACTTGATTTGTGCCACAATCAGCTTTGTGTTTTAATGAATTGTTTTTGTAGCATTTGGTTTCAATCTGTAGCTCCGCTGCAAGTTAGTAGGAGTTCCATGAGTTCCCAATCAGGCTGACTGAAGCTTGATGAGAAAAGAGGGAGTGTGTGGTGAGCAATGAGTGCTCCAGCTTCTCAGGAGCAATGGGGAAGGCTGACCTACCTCAAACCCAGGCTGACCACAGCACAGACGGTGTGCTGGAACCGGGCTGCTGGGTGTACTGCATGTCCATCTGTCCGTCTGAAGGCATCTCCCATGGTAACAGGGTGGAGAGTGGGATGCAGGGGTTGGGGTTGCCCAAGAAGCCTTTCTGTTAGCATTTGTGAGTAGTCTAAAATTAGCATGGAAATAACCATCGCTCCTCTGAAATTACTAATTCATTAAAGTTAAGACAGTGAACTTCACATGTGGGTTTTAAGGATAACTTGAACATTGTAATTTTAAGGGTTTTTTTAAGCATTTTGAATAGAGAAGATCTGAAATGTGTGAACACTTCAAATTCTTTTCTGCTTGTTTTTTATCTCAGCATTTTTGGAATGTCAGATCTGGTCCCTTTGGTTTATCTGAGGGACTTCCCAAAGGCTTCAGGGAATATGTAGGACATGAGTTCCTTATTACGAGGAAAGTACCTTCCATTTTAGGAAAATGGACTTTACTTCAAATGCTCTTTTAGCAGTTAAATTGGCATTAGCAAGCAGAAAAGGTGGTGAGACACTGGCACAGGTTGTCCAGTGAGGGTCCTATTTGGAGGCATTCAAGGCAGGCTGGACGGGGCTGTGAGCAACCCGGTCTAGAGGGAGGTGTCCCTGCCTATAGCAGGGGGTTGGAACAAGGTGATCTTAAATGTCCCTTCCAACCCAAACCATTCTATGATCCTGTGATAAAAGCTCATTAAACAAGCTCTCTTGCCTGAGAGCCTTTTATCTATAGCTTTTAATACGGATGCAGCTTTGTCTCTTTTCAGAAATACAGTTCTTCAGACGTGTCAGTGAGCAACCTGAGTACGTGAATCTCTACCAAAAGAATAACTTTATCCTGTGGGGCTGGGAAACTCTTTCACTAATTTCTGTCAACAGCCAGCTATAACCTGTTAAAGTGAAAGTACTTTTTATTTGTTTTTAATCAAATCAAATAAACACACTTGCTTTGATCTTTAAGAAGCCCATTCTTGTTAACTCGCTTTATACTTTTATGTTTTGACATTCATTGTAAATCTAATTATTTAAAAAAGTTATTTTGTTTGACATTAGTAAACCTCCTCTGAATGAAGATAAACAGGGGCATGTTTTGGTAGAGATTAAAAATAAATTTCACACGAAACTGCAAAACGTAGCAAAGATAATAACGTGTAGGCGTCAGAGTGTTCCAAAACAAGGCTCTCCAGGGGCTCTTCTGAACGCACGGCTACGTTAAAGCCGTGTTCTGAAAGGGCTCAGGAAACCCCTGACTCCAACCCACCCTTTCCTGAAGGTGGTGAAATTATTTAAAAAAAAAAAAAAAAAAAAAAACCACCACGTTGCTGTTGCAGGGAAATAAAAAGAAACAAAGAATCTCTCATATTGCCAAAGCAGATGATTTTTTCCTGTTTGTTTACCAGCAAACTCCATGGTGTGCAGATTTGCTTGAGTTAAAGGCTGTCCACTTCCATCATGCAAATGCAGGAAGTGGTCCTCTGGCTGACAAACATCCACTATTACTCGGCAATGGAAAGGAAATTAACGTGTTATAGGATCTAATGGGGAAAAATGGACCAGCAATCATAGAATCATAGAATGGCCTGGGTTGAAAAGGACCACAATAGTCACCCAGTTTCAACCCCCTGCTATGTGCAGGGTTGCCAACCACCAGACCAGGCTGCCCAGAGCAATCCTTTGCTACATTAGTTGATCTGTAAGTTAGAACTAACTTTAAAAGACAACATAATATATCTTTGGAAAGTACTTAGTCCGTCTTTTGGTAAATTGGGTAAGGGCTGCCTGTTGTTTGCTGTTGTTTTTTTTAATCCACGATGGGTATTTGGGAAGCGATCCTCGTCGTCTTGAAGTGCTGACTTGTTCTGGAGCTTGTCAGTGCTTTTCTAAGAAGTCTTCCTTCTTCATTTACAGCCATCTCTTGCTGAGACCGAGCAGCCCGCGCTGCCTCTTTCCCGTGCTCTTGATATCCCGCAGCCAGCAGGGGCTGCTCAGGAGCCGCCCTGCGCCGCGCTCCCTGCCCGGCCCACTCGTACCCCTACCCCTGTCCCTGCCCCTGCCCGGCTGGGCAGCGCTGGCTGCTGCGGGCAGATGGTAAGTTGTTTTCCCCTTCGCTTGGCGATTCTGCGAGAAGGAAGAAAATAACAGGGTCAAAAGTTAAAAAGCAACGTGGATGTAACAGCTGAAGCCACACGGACGGTACCTGGGGAAATGCAGTTCGCTATGGATTTCCATCAAGCTCCACCATCTCCGTGCAATAATATTAATTTTGAATTAATCCTCCAGCCTGAGTGCAGTGCTTAACCTCCACGGTTTTCATTACTACTCCATAAACCCTCTCTGGCACCGCCTCATGAGAACTCGCAGAAAGACATGTTGTCCTTCTGGACAGCCTGCATTTGCCTCTCAGAAACATAACCACCCTGTGCATATAGGTGAGGAAAAGAGCACGTTTCCTGTGAGAGTGTCTTCCTAAGGGAAACCTTGAACGTAATTAATAGTAGTTGCAGCTGAAAGAATTGAATGGAACATTACTTCCCATTCCTGCTACTGTGCAGGAAAAAAAATCCCCTAAGAGTTTTCTAAACCGACTAGCAGCAAGAGGGGTGGCTGAGACTGCCCTGAGTCATAACCATGTCCAGTAGGCAGCGAGACAATAAGAAATCACCCCACTTTCCTCTCACAGCTGAAGACAATGCATAAGCCAGCAATCACCAAAATGAAAAGTTGGCATTTTACACAGAGAGCAGACATTTCCAGCAAAAGCATATATCTCTTTACATGCAGCATTTCTTCTCACCGTAAGAAGCTGTTAGCTGAAATTCGTCTCCATGTTCTTCTCCTGTCCTTTTAAAAACAAAACAGGAAAGAGGCAAAGCATCCAATCCAACCACGGTTTTCTTCTTAAGAATGCTGTAGTCTGTCTCATAGGTGGAATGGTAACTACTGGCTTAGAAACAGTTAAGGCTCAAGTCTTCCATGGTAATTATGTGTTGAGCATCTCAGGACGTGAGCCAACCTGCTTAGTTTTAGCCAGCAAAAAAGCAGAAGTGTGTCTAGAGCCAGTTTGGGCCAAGCTTAGGTCTGAACTTGATGACTCACAAGCTACAGTTTGCTTGCATGTACATCAACAGAAGCAGCAGCTTACAGTAAGTAGCTTGTCTGTGGACCCTGGCACTTGTAAAGAGCTTTCCTGAATTCCCGAGGGTT